TTTTTTTTTTTTTTTTTTTTTTTTTTTTTTTTTTTGGTGATAAACTTCGTTTGTCAGCAGCATCTTCGCTCCAGATACTATTTATCACCGTCTTACCAAACTATAAGGCCTGTGTTTGTTTGTGGTATTCTCCCTCCTTTAAAAAAAAAAAAAAAAGAAAAAAAAAAAAGAAAGAAAGAAAGAAGAAAAGCTAGTCTCGTTAATAATCCTATTTCTAGGTTCAAGAGCAAAGGTTACCGGTAGGGCAAAGAAGCCATTTGGTAGGGGGTGTGCAAGTGGACGGGGATTCGATCTACGGTAGTGTTGGCATATTCTCAACCCTCCAGTGCCTCCGCACGTTCTATTCTTCGTGCATTTGCTATATATGCATGCCTTCTACAGCATCCAGATCCCAGCTGCACTTTTCTTCCTGCCTCGGACCTACCTCTAGGCAGGGTACCTTTTCCTTTTCTATTGTTCGTACATCTTGATTTGACAAGCTCTGTGAGATCTAATCCCGGCTCTCTCTCTCTCTCTCTCTCTCTCTCTCTCTCTCTCTCTCTCTCTCTCTCTCTCTCTCTCACACACACACACACACACACACATATATGCACTGCCAAACTCATGTCAATACGCACATGACTGCATCCACAAACCTATTCTTACAATCAGGCACGTCGGGCCAGGTCGGGCTGGGGGGGGGCACCCTGGAAAACGGGCGGCCGAAAAAGTGGGTTCTTTCTTCCTTGTCTTTTTCTGCTCCGCAGCCCTTACTGCTCTCCCCAAGAGAAAAGAAATCCGCCTTCAGAAAAAGAACCCTTGCATTTTAGGTTCCGGGGCGGAGCCCGCGTGTAGGGAGGGAGGGAGGGAGGTGGGGGAGAGGATGCCGCGGGGGAATGATGGATATGATGATGAAGATGAAGACGACGAACAAGAAGACAAATCCCGGTTGATCACACACCAATGACGATGAGATTGTGATGACCATGATGATGGCGTCGATGACGATTATGGTCAGCATGATGATGACCATGATGATGACGATGACGATTATGGTCAGCATGATGATGACGATGACGATTATGGTCAGCATGATGATGACGAATGACGAGAGAAGACGAAGAGAAAACCACCGTTGATCACCAATTAGGTGTTTTGCACTGATGAGGATCACCGTTGATTATGATTGAACGACGAGAGAAGAAGAAGAAGAAGAAGAAGAAGAAGAAGAAGAAGAAGAAGAAGAATTGCAACAAGTAATTGTAAGAATACGGAGGCTAATCGCCGGGCATCCACGCTTGCGAACACGTGTCAATAAGGAGGCCAATTGCATGGACATACACAAAGCTCAAAGGCGGACATTCCGCCTGGATACGCATCAGGACTTATCAAGCGCCACACTGCCAACTCAACAAGAAGAAGGATAGAGAAATCGATGAAGACGAAAAATCGCGGCGTTGATGACACACACTGGGCATCGTACGCGACCATGGTCATCATGAAGACGCGACGAGAGGAGGAAGACGACAGAGAGAGGAGGAGGAGTAGAAAGAAGACGAGGGCAATGTCTTGGCGGAAGGAATCGCGACCGGGGGGAGACGGAGACAGCAATTGGGAAGGCGGTTGGGGGGTCGGGGAGCAGGAGATCGCGACTGGGGAAGGGGAGAAGATTGCGATTGGCGGAGAAGAAGATCGCGAGTCGCAGGGGAGAAGAAGATCGCGAGTCGGGGGGAGAAGATCCGCAATGGGGCGGGGGAGAAGGTCGCGGCTGAGGAGGGGGAAGATTGCGGTCGGGGGGTGAAGAAGATTGACATTCGGCGCGGAGGTCGCAACTTGGGGGGGAAACTCTCTCTCTCTCTCTCTCTCTCTCTCTCTCTCTCTCTCTCTCTCTCTCTCTCTCTCTCTCTCTCTCTCTCTCTCTCTCTCTCCCGCACACACACACACACACACACACACACACACACACACACACAGAGAGAGAGAGAGAGAGAGAGAGAGAGAGAGAGAGAGAGAGAGAGAGAGAGAGAGAGAGAGAGTGTCTGTCTGTGCGGGTCAATCAGACCGCATCCAAGAACGGTTGGTTAAATGAAGAAGAAGAAGGTACGTCCTTTTTGCTGTGGTAAGAGATGGCCCGGAAAGAAGACAGGCATAATGGCGACCGCTGGAAGAGGACGACGACGGCGATGGCGTGATGACGACGACGACGGCGATGGCGAGATGA